AGTCTTAAAAACAATTCAGAGTCTATTTTTCAAATTAATAAATTCAGTAATTTATATTTTATCCCTATATTTAGAATTTAATGAACTAAATAACCTCCTAATAAGGAAGCCGTCCAGCTAAAAAATAAGAAAATGTCACATTCTTCTAAAAATTTCTAGAAATCAATTTAAAAGGAAAATCTAGCTCATCATTGTGTGTTGAGGGTGGTACTAAGGTGAAGAGCAATTGCAAGGCACATGAAAAACAAAGGAGCTCGGAAATAAAAAAGTTATCAACATGGATGAAGAAGGTAAATGACAATCTCAATTAGAATGAGTAGAGAGTCTCATACATAATGTATAGAACTTTCTATTCTTTTCTATTAAGATAGATTTTTTGGACAATATACCAAAAGCTAGATAGGAACTTATGTCCTTCGTCCTTATGTCCTTATGTCCTTATGTCCTGCTAAAAGTAAAAATTCTGTCAACTTGTTGAATATACGTTCTCAATCATGTTGAATTACTTTAATGTAATTTAAATTTACCTTACATGAGGGAAAGAATTTTTATATTCTTTTAAAAATCTATAAATTGTGAATGATAAAATTGAATATAATTTTACAAATAAGAATTAGAGCCTAAAGCAGAATTATATTTCACTGTAAAAATGCCTATCTTTATAGTCAAATACATAGTTATGCATATATAACTACACAAAGAAAGACATAAAAATCAGTATTTTTTTTCTTAAAGATAGTGTAATAAGATAAACAACAGCACTGTACTCTACATTCTATGACTTGGACTCCGATCTACAAGATATCTGATAATTTTGTGATCCTGATCAATTAACTTTTCCACATTGGACCTTCGTTTCCTCTTCTATAAAATTAAAGGATGTTTTGTTCATTATCTTTTAACTCTAAAATACAATGATTTTAGGAACAGGCATTAAGCTATTCATTGTATTATTTTCTATTTTGACTTTGTACATGGTGAAAGCTCTGATATTTTTCACATATCAATGTATGAGTGTCACAATAAAATAAAAGAAACTAGTGGCACCGGAGTTTGGCTTTATGGTGTGATTAATGATTTAGAATAAGCTTAAGATAAAATTTAAATTATGATATGTGGACTTCGCTTTAAATTCTCATATCCATTGAAGATCAACTCATTTCATGACCTTTTTTATATTTCATACAGATCCAGGTAATGTTGCTTTAGGCCTAACTTCCATCAGTTAGCTGCTCTTATGAGCCTCAGAACAAATGTAACAGAGATTTCATCATATACTGATTCACTGAGCCTATTAAGTCTTTGCTTACAGATAAAAGAATCATTTTGTAGATATGATGCTTATAGAACAAGAACCAAAAGCTATGGCTGCCATTACTATGCAGATATACTACTATGAAAATATAATGATGCTATATGCATGTACAAATAATTTGATAGTTTACTTTCTTAATGCTTAACATACTAATAGCAACGGCAAGTCATCCATTTGCTCCTTTTTTTAAAAAAAGAGTTGAGCTTTATTTTTTTTTTGCTAAGTATACAATGGATGTATTGAACATGATTTGATCAATTAAAGAGAACCTTATTCAGACTAATTCAGAAGTTCCTTACAAAAGGCAAACTGTCACTGTAGTTAGTACGGATTTTTTTCTTGAGAATTTCAGGATCAGCTACAAATGGATTTTGAAATGAATGTTTATTCAAGCTAAATTCTTGCCAAAAATAAATTACCTTACTTCCCACTTACTAAATACAATAAAACTTTTACTTGTAAGTGCATTATCTAAATAACAGCATGCTAAAGATAAGCTCAACAGGACTTGAGAATAACAAGCAAAGTGGTAACTGTACTTTTATATTGCCTACGAAGATTTTGGTATTATATTATTCTTTAAGAAAAACTGAAAACACTTAGTGGAGTAAAACACTGGATATTTAAAAGTATATGGAATGTATTTTCCTTTAATTTACAAACCAAAAGCACAGTAGTCATTTCAGGTTACCAATTTTCAACAACTACCAACACCAAGTGTGCCAGGTAAAGAAGGAATAACATGGAAAGGGGAACACTTATTCTCAATAGTGTTGTGAATCCATAATTTGCTCAACTAAATATATTAGGAAGTTGTTAGCAAAGGATTTTGTTTGAACCTCAAAGGTCTATACTATGAAAATTTGGGCTACAGCATCAGTTTTTCTGATGTGTGAATTTCAGGAAAAGATTCCATCAACTCTGCAGCACACATGTAAAGTCTGCCAAAAGGCAACTACAGAAGCTTGATTTGAATGTCTCTAGAGCCTATGAAAACAAACCAAAAAGAAGGGAGAGGCATAGAGGAGTGTATTATTTACAGACTTTCATTTCTACAAAGCTGTTTAACTTACTACAATGTGATCATGAACAGCATTTAAGAGCAACATTTCAAAATTTCTAATCCTGATGGAGAGAAGAACACTATCAGAAACACCACTTCCATTTCATTACAAATTTAAAAAATGATAAGCTAATTCAGAAAAAAAATACAGGTAAAATTAAAGATATATCAAATCAAATCTCAGGTTTTTAATCAATCTTTATTATAGGGAAGTGAAAATATGCAACCTTCAAATTTTTTCTTAGGTGAATTCACTTATCAAAGGAGGAAAACTGTAATAAAACCCTATGTTGGATTTTTTGAACAAAAGTTTTAATTTAAGAAAACATATCTTGTCAATCTTGTGCAAACTGAAGGCACTATCACTTAAGAATAAAATGACAACTCGTGAACTTATGATACAAACAAAAACCAGAACAAAAAGGGTCTGTTTATGTCAGATGTCTGAATGGAATGTAATTTTGTAAATGGATCCCTTGTCCTCTTGACAGCAATATTGAGGAGATGAAGCGTATCAATTACTATTACTAATTACATTAAGGGGAATGTGTTTCATTTGCCTTTATTTCATTATAGGTCAACTGCTTACTTGTGGTTAAAACTTTATTCATCTTTTGAATACCTAATGACATAGCAGTTTTCCAAAGTCACTTTTAGTAAACTGTGATTCATTTTAAATGCTTTGTGGGTTTTCTCTTTTGGTATATAGACTTTTCTCAGCTAAGAGACTAGTACCATACATTAGTTTATTTATAAGCATATCACTTTGCCTCTCAGAGAAGATGCCAACAGTCGTGATATTGACTTTTAAAAATTCAAGAACATAGAGCTAATCCCATCTGATGAGTCAAATAAAGCTTAAGAGACAGCACAGAACACACTATTATTTGCATAAAATATCTATAAATCTCCCACTTGAGATGTCCACTCCAAAGCATAAGATTAAGGCTCCAAGTGCCATTCAGCCACAATACAAAAGTATTATTATGATGACAGTGGAGAAGTACACATTCTATGGAAAAAGCTCTTCATACTCTTTTGCGCTGCATGTTATTATTTTCTAGGGAAAGTTCTAAGACCTCAATGTATAAGCCATCTTATAAAAGTGCTATTATTTTAACTAGAATCTTTCTTATTTACAAAACTAATACAAGCATCAAGAGCAAAACAAAAATCTATATCTCGGTCCAGGTAAAACATAACAAGGGAAATATAAGCTCTCCACAATATCAAATTTTCTTTTAAAATAAATAAACTATTCAACTTTAAGTGGCTCAAAAGATATTTTGCCTCAAAAGCCATTCCATGCAGGGCAGTTCAAACCTGTGTTTTCTCGGATTGCTTTTGTTATTGGTTATAAGAGGGTATTAAGTCTGTTTCTCCTTAACCAAATAGCTACAATAAAGCACTACAAACAGAAAGTATTGCTGTAGGAAATCAACTTTGAAAGCAGTGAAGAATTAATATCTCTTTTTTTAAATGTGAGTATACAACAATTTTTTTCTTTTTCCTTGGTTTTTCAAGGGTCACACAATTCCATATGCAAAACACATTCAATAGAAAACCATTATGTGATATTATTTGACCATCATAAATGTCTTTCTTGAGATGAGTTCTGGCAATAAAGAATATGTAATATTTTATTAGCAGAGTTTGCTGCAGTACTACAGCCATTTCTAAAAGGTTTCATTTGTTGTGTGTCAAACTTTGGTAAGCATAAAAAGTAAGTAGTATTGTATGTCACACAAGCGAAACTGTCAAAAATAAATTTTTTTCATTTTCTGAAGTTTCCCTCAGAATATATACATATGACTTTTGTACTGTTTCTACATTTTATCAAGAAATGGCTCTGTGAAATACACCACATAACCTTTATATTCAAAGTATATCACAAAAAGTAGTCTTGCACACAGTACATCAATTATGCACATTTTCGTTGTTTGGCTTAAATAACAAATAGCCCATGCAGCTTAGTTTTGGTTACACACTTTTAATACTGAAGAGAAATAATGCAACTGGTGACTGCATATCATCATAGAACAACTACTGTAGATACCTATTGTTATAAAGTATTAAAATGAAGTTTTTCATGACACTTGAATATCAGTAACATTTTTAAGCCAGTACTTTGGTCAAATTAGTGTTTCCATAGCCCAGACTTGGTACTACATTTGCATCAATCAGCATCTGATTATTTGTAAAATCTTGCATGATGTAGAGCACAGCTAAAACTTCTATAGTGTCCAATTTGCATAGACACCAGTAGTTACTTTAGACAATTTCACTCTGGATCCAATTATCTACTCAAAACTATCCAAACAATACATACATATTTATCCTGTAAATAGAAAATGTAAAATGAATTAGGGCTTCCAAGCACAAAAAGAATTGCAAAACATTATCTACTTTGCATATTTCCTTCAGTGGCTTAATGAACATTAGGTCTCACCTGCAAATAACAGGAAGGCCTCTGCTATATTAATGGTGCTATATTAAATTCCTGCTATTAAAATTTTAAATAATAACCTTTCAAAAGAGAAGACACAACTTTACAGCAGATGATCTCTCTCAGGGTTCCCAGCCCTCTCTGGGGTATTTGAATAGATCTGGAATGAATCTTACCTGTTTGCTGTACTTGTTATTGGTTTGACAGCTGTACTCAGAGCAGTGATCTGATCCAATTGAAATGTTGTCTCCTGTTCCCACAAATGTGTTGGCTGGTGGTAGATCTTGTACAGCCTGGTGTTTTTTTCCTGCAGTTGGTGACTGGGGGTGAAGCTGGACAGTAGGCAGTGGGGAACTGGATTTGTAATGCCTTGCCAGGTCAGGACTGCCAGGCCCACCATTAACAGATCGGTATCGCCCCATGCTTGGGCTGTCTGACAGCTTCTCGTTGACACTGTCATACCTCTGTCCATTTGGTTTAGAAGCTTCTACAGTGACAATGCTGCTGTAGAGTGGCTGCTTAGATTTTTTGTTTTTCTTGTCCTTTTTAGGCTTTTTAGATTTGTCATGCTGTTGGGGTGTAAAAAAGTCTTCGTGATCTTTTTTGCCAGCTTCATAGCCATTTTTGTTTTTGGACCTGCAGTACCTTGCCATCACAACAATTAAAATGATCAGAATCACTGTCATGATGCCAGCAACCACTCCGATGACAATACTGAGTCTCTGTTTGCTAATTTCATAGCTCGGGTCACCAGCAATATCCTGGGTTAGTGGGGTATGTAAACTTCTGGCTATCTGGGAGTCAATCACAGTTGCATTCGAAACACTTTCATTGACAAACACATGCACCAGAGCAGTGGTGGACTGGGAAGGTTGCCCACTGTCATTCACTTGTACCACCAACCTGTGCAAGCCGTAATGCTTATGGGTGAGTTTTCCCACTAAAGAAACCACACCACTGGTGGGATCAATGTCAAACAGCTTGAAGGGATTCCCTCCCACAATGCTGTAGTTCAGGTCTGCATTGATGCCATCATCGCTGTCTGTCGCCAAGACTGTAGCTACAACTGTCCTGACATTACTCGAAGGTGGCAGCAAGGTGTAAGAGACGTTTCTGGGAAGGGTAACTGTGGGAGCGTTGTCATTTTCATCCATCACAAAGAGAGAGACTGTGGCTGTGGCAGATCTGGGAGGATCACCACCATCCACAGCCTTGACTCTGAACGTGTATGTGGTCTGATGTTCCCGGTCAAAAGACATCGTGGAGTAAATGGTCCCCGTGTCATTTTCAATAGAAAAAATGTTGCTGTTCTCCTCTATATAGAGGCTCATCTCTGCATTCCGCCCTTTGTCAGAATCCATCACGGTGACCATTCCCACGGGGCTGTTGGGCTGCAAGTTCTCTTTCACATAAAAGGTAAAAATGTCCTGCATAAACTTAGGGTCATTGTCATTCTTGTCGGCCACCTGCACAATTACTGTGGTGCTGCCCTGGAGCACAGGGATGCCTTTGTCTTTGGCATTAACTTTAAACTCGTACCTGTCGGTCTGCTCGCGGTCCAGCACCGTATTTACAAGGATGTCCCCGGAATCAGGGTCAATAGCAAAGATCCCCATCAAGGCAGAGTCCAGCGAGTAAGCGATCTCTGCGTTTTTCCCGCTGTCAGCGTCTGTCGCCAGCACGGTAGCGACCCTCTGGCCAGGGATGTTGTTCTCCGGGAAGTAAACCTCCACCACTGACTGGCCAAAGACGGGAGGGTTGTCGTTAGTGTCCCCCACTTTGACGACTAAGGAGTTGTTGCTGGAAAGGCTGGGGCTGCCGGAGTCTACCGCCACGATGACCACGTTGAACTCCCGCGCGCTCTCATAGTCCAGAGGAGCCGATGTGTGCAGGAAGTACTTTTTCTTGTTCTGGTCGCCCTCTGTGTCGCTGGCCGGCTTGAGTTGGAAGGGGACATCGCCCACTACGGTGCAGGTGACTACGCCGTTCTCCCCTTGGTCTCGGTCGGACACCTGCACCAGGGCGATGGGGGTGTCGACCAGCACGTCCTCGGCCACGTTGGCCACCCCGTCCTTCAGTGGGATGCGCCCGATCTTGCGGATTTCAATGGACGGCACGTTGTCGTTCTCGTCCTTGATGTTGAGGACCACAGTGGCCTTGTCGGTCTTGGGGGGCTGCCCGCGGTCGCGCGCCATGACTGTGAAGCGCAGCTGGTTCACTTCCTCGCGGTCTATGCGGTGCAAGACACTGAGCCAGCCGGACGTTTCGTCGAGGCGCAGGAGCCGCCTCACGGACTCAGTGGCCGCCCCGAACACGTACTCAATCTGCCCATTGACCCCCACGTCCAAGTCGGCGGCGCGCAGCTGCAGGATGGGGGTCCCCGGGGCGCTGTTCTCGGCCAGGTCAGCCTCGTAGACGCTTTTCTCGAAGCGGGGGCTGTTGTCGTTCACGTCGGTGATGAGCACCCGCAAGATGGCCTGCGAGGACCGAGGGGGGTCGCCGCCGTCGCGCACCCGCAGGGTCAGCTCGTAGGAGTCACGCTGCTCCCGGTCCAGCGCCCCCTTCACGATCAGCTGCGGCTGCTTCTCGCCGTCCGGGGTGTCCGCCACCTGCAGCTCGAACACGCTGCTGCGACCGCCGGGGCTGGTGCCGCCGCCGCCCTCCTGCGCGTCCGGCCGCCGCTTGGAGCCTCCCTGGCCGCCGCCGCTCGCGCCGTTCCCGCCGCCCCCAGGGTAGGGGGCGCTGTCGGCCAGCACGGAGCGCCGGCCCTCTCCGCCGCCGCCCCCGGGCTCCTGGAGCAGCTCGTAGCGCTCGATGCCGTTGCGGCCGAAGTCACGGTCGGTGGCGGTGGGCAGCAGGTACAGCGTCCCCACCGGCCGGTTCTCCTCCACCGTGAGCGTGAGCACGGGCGACGGGAAGGTGGGCGTGTTGTCGTTGATGTCCAGCACGATGACCCGACCCTCAAACAGGTCCACCCAGCTCTGCGAGGGCCCGATCACCGACACCTCGAAGTCCAGGAAGCACTCGTTCTCGTCGAAGATCATCTGACACTGGGGTAGCTTCTCGCGGTCGATGCGCCGCTCGCTGGTGCTCAGCTCGCCGGTGAGGTTGTCAATTTTCAGGTACTCGGAGCCTGACTCTAGGCTGAAAGTCACCTCACCGGAGCCGGTCACGATGCCCAGGTCCGAGGCGACGTTGCCGATCCGGACGTCGGCGGGGCCCTCCTCGGCCAGCCGGTACCGGAGTAGCTGCTTAGCGGCAGCCAGGCTGAGCCAGAGCGGCAGGAGGAGGCAGCAGCCCAAGCACCAGCCGCGCGCCCATCCCGCCGTCCGCATCCTCAGCATCTTCTCCTGCTGCTGCTGCTACTGCTCCTTCTAACCACAGCCCTCTCGGCGCCCCCTCCTCCGGGGCTGGCCACCTGCCCTCCCCCAGTCCTCTCTCCTCCCCGGGAAAGGAAGAAACGAGAGGGGAGAATGGAGGGAGGGAGCAAGAGTCGCGCGTAGAGTCCGCCGGTGGGGGGGGGGGTGCGGCGATAGATCCTCCTCTTTTTTTTTTCCTCTTGCCTCTTCCGAAAGTTATTGTTTCATAATTCATGCAATGGGTGCTAATTGCCCGCTCGCCGGCCGCCGTGCAGTCGCAGTACTCACAGTTCACGGGACGCTGCGCGCCGAGGGCTCGGTGCCCCCCACCCCCCAAAAGTCATCCCCGCAGCGGGAGGAGGATCCGCGGCTCCGTCCCCGCTCGGTCGGAGCGGGCCAGAACCGCTTCTGGAGGCGGCCGGCGGAGCCGGGAAGCGGCGGGGAGCGAGCTCGCAGCCTCCTCCGCCTGCCAGCCCCGCCAGGCTTTGCTGCTACTCGAGTTGAGTCCAATTCACGTTCCAGCCACTCACTCTGAGACGAAGCCTCTGCTCCGGCCACGGATGCCCAGGCCAAAAGCGAGTCGCTTCCGGCACCGGGCTCTGGGGCCAGCAACAAGCCAGTCTCAACTCTGACTCCTCTCAGGCAGCAGGGGAGCCAGTCAACAGGAGCAGAATGAAAAATCTCAGGCAGGTCTCTTCGGGCACGGTTCAGGGAAGACTGCGCGCGTCACAGCGCGGTCCGCGTCCGGGTCCCCCGGGCGCGCCAAAGACAAGCCCGAGCCATCTTCAGAGACGCCCAGAGTCAGTTGCTTCTCACCCACGAGAGCTCGAGTTTCTCTTTTTTTCTTAACAACTCTGCGCAAGGTCATTAGTCACGAAGCCTCCGCCGAAACCGCAGCAGCCTTTCGCCCGCGGGGGCGAGAGCTGAGCCGTGCGCACCGCGCGGTGCCCAAGTTTGGGTTCGCAGCCGCAGAGTCCGTGCCTTTCCTCACCTGCATTCGGCCCGCGTGTCGGAGCTCTGGGATCTGCAGCGCTGTGCGCGATTCAGGGAGGAGATTGCAGCCTCTCTCTCCCCGCTCTCTCGATCCCTCCCTCCCTCCCTCCTTCTCTCCTCCCTCCCCTTCTCTCCTCCCTCCTCTCCTTTCCCCTTTCCCCCTCTCACTGCTCTCCGGCGCGGTCTCTCGCCTTCCTCCTCCCTGTCCCCCAAGCGGGGAACTCGAGCTAAACTTGATCCCTTTGCAGTTCAAAGGTGAGCAAGCCAGGCTCCCGCAGAGGCGACGTTAGCCCAGCAAAAGCGCACGGCTAGCCTCCCCCAACGGCAATTAACAAAGATGCCCAAATCCGTCCGGATTTCCGAAGAAAAGCCAAAGGCATTGGGGCGGGGGTGGAGGAGGAGGAGGAGGAGGAGGAGGAGTCAGAGACAGCTGCCAAGTAGTTTAAAAAAAAAAATCCAGTTTGCCAAAGGGAGAAAAAGTGCCAGTCGGCTGTTGTCTCGGAAGTGCCCTGGCACGGAGGTTGGATTCCGCAGTTGTCTCGTCCCCTTTCGCGCCTGGAAGAGTCTGGTGCGGGCGCTCCCGCGGCCTCTCGGGAAGCCGCGCCTCCCAGTCAACTGAACCGCAAGTGGGAAGCTCTTGCTCGATACCCAGGAGCCAGAAAGCCGCAAGTTTGCCCAAAGTGGTGGTAGCTGCTGGAAGCTCCCTCGCTCCGACTCAGACTTGTCCCTGGCGCTGCGTCGGAGGCGGCACTAACAGCCTAACCGCGGAAACTACACACTTGCGGAGAGCCGGGGAGGAGGGCTCGGGAGGAGGAGGCGGGAGGGCGCACCAGCCAGCCTCCGCGCTCCCAAGCCCGACTTCGGCTCCGGGGACCGCTGCCAGAGTGCCCAGTGTCAGCCCCTTAAAGCTCAGCCTAGTCCCTTCCGTGAGGTCAGCCCGCCCTTCCTCGGCGACGAGGGGCTGCCGTGCTCTCCCTCCCTAGGGCTGATAAATACCCTCCTTCCCTTGGACTACTGCGGAGCGCGTGTGTGAGGGTACGCGGATACGGTTCTCCTTCCTCTCCCCTCTGTGGGACAGTATTCTCCTCCGCAGAGGGTCTCGGGTTCTCAGTTTAGCTTGTGGGCTGGGGCTTGGCTATTGGTAGGTTGGGGACCCCAGGTTGGCATGCGTCCAGAAAGCTACCTTGGTGTTCTTGAAAAAACAAAAAAACAAAAAAACAGGACCCGCTGCTTTGGTGAATGGAGTCCAGAAAGCTACCTTGGTGTTCTTGAAAAACAAACAAACAAACAAAAAAACAAAAACAGGTCCCGCTGCTTTGGTGAATGGAGAACAGCAAACTCCAGAGCGAGCGGGAGAGATCCTTTTTTGGGAGCGCGGACTTCGGATGGCCGGGGCTGGGTGGAAGGTGCCTGCCTTTGTTTAAATGCTTGGCGTTCCCGTCCTTGCGCTAGAGGGGTGAACGGCGTGCGCGCGCGCCTGGGGAATAACACACATGTGGGAAACCTCGATATTATTTTCTGAGCAGAAACCCGCAGCCTTCAGTAACTGGCAAAGTGTAGCGTCACCTATCTGGATATGAGGGAAATAAACTTTAATGGTAACTTCGTGTACCAAGTGTCCCTGGCTTCTTTTCTCTCCTTTTGACTTTGTGCCACTCGCTCGTCCCTGCTACTGCCCTAGGCGAGACTTCCCCAGTTTCCTTTCCGGACCACCGCAGCTCCTCATCACATCTTAGGTTGGCTTGAGCTTTCTAAGCTGGAACCATCCACTCATTTATGTCAGCGGCTGTTTAAGAGGACGGCTCCCAGCAAGATGAAGAGGGTTGGGGTGGACAAGAAATATTTGGGGTCAATTTTTATAATCTCAAAGGAGAACAAGGACTATTCATGGGAAATTGTTGGCCTTCAGCAATTCTGTCCAATCTATAGATGTCCTCTTAAAGAAATATTTAAAGCGAAAAGAAAAAGAGAAAGAAATCCGCTCAGTGCCTATACTCTACAAGATCTGAGTGAGGAGGCAGAATGATTTAAAGGAGACAAACACCAGTAAAGTCTAGGAGCAGATGTAGCGCGCGGTTGTTTGGGCGGACGCAGCGAGTAGGAATGGGGCGGGGAGAGGGAGGCGGCGGCGGCGATTTCTAAGCTCTCCCTACTGTGCATTGCAGAAACGCGGAGGGTGGAAGTGTGTGTAGTATGTGGCAGGGGAGCTGGTAAGTATTTTCCAGTCTGTTAAAGCAGCAGCATCATTCCAGGAGTGGCGGCTCCTCCTCCGAGGATAGGGCCGGGAGCCCGGCCTTCCTCTAGCCCTCCCGCGGCTGCCACCCGAGCCTCTTAGGTCGGTATCTGCAGCATCAGCGAGAAAAGCCCGACGCGCAGGCTCAGTGCGCTCCGCCGCAGTCTCCAGCCGGGGGCGGGGGCGGGCGCCGCAGCGCCTTTGCAGCCGGCTAAGTGGCGGTAACGCCAAATCTCCCTTACACCTGGCAGGAGTACGCTTTTATCCGAACGCCTGCTTTCCTCCGAGCCCGGCCCTCAAAAGCACGAGGGAAGCCTTCTCAGCTCCGAGGCCCTGAGCTGAGCATTCCGATGCGCGGCAACATGGTGCAGCGCCCTTACTCCCATCGCCGCCTTTAGTAACATTTTGCAAACTTTGGGCAGCTGCGTGGGCAGAGATGCTGTGCACTCTTCCTCCTCTCTCTCTCCAAATCGTAAAGTTGAACGAGCCCTTCTGCGTCTTCCCGCGTCCGCCCGCCGCTCCGGCGCGCACTGGCCGGGCGCACCCTGGCGGGGGCGAGGGGCAGGCGGCTTTCACCCGCGCGCTGCACGTTTCTTCCCGGACGCCGGGGGGAGGGGAGCGGCGTGTCCTTCACAGTGCAGTGGTTTCCTCCGTGAGCGGGAGGTAGTCTCCAGCCCGCCCCCCTCGCTCTCAGCCCTACCAACTCCGCCGCCGAGCCAAGCCGGCGTGGGAAATGGGTCCGACGTGTGCTGCATGGAGAGCAGCGCGGCCAGACTGCCGGGGCCGTGGAGCCTCCAGGCCTCTCTCCCTCCCCTCATCGGTCCCCGCCTCCGACCTTTCCGCCGGAGCAGCCAAGAAGTGACACAGCTTCGACCAGCGGCGCGGTTCTTGGAGAGGGGGCGGGGGAGGGAGGTGAGAGGAGCCGCGGGGCGCCCTTGCGGAGCCCCGACACGGAGTCCCCTTCCGCCTCCCCCCGCCCCCCGTCTCGCCGTTGACCCTCTCACTTCACCTCCTGCCGGCGCGGAGGGTGAGTGGAGGCGAGAACCGGCTGTCCCCACCCCCGCCCCATTTCCGCAGCCTTAGAGCCAGTGTCGCAAGTGCTCAGCAATTTCATTAAATGGAACCGGGGGGTTTAATCCCCCCCCCCACACACACACACTAGACCTCACCGAGGGAATTTGATACCCGGCTTCGCTCCCACCCACCGGCCCCGCCCGGCTTCTTAGACCCCAGGCTGCATTTATCTTCCCAACCTGAGAGGCAGGGGTTCTGAAGGAAATGGGATCGAAAGTGTAAGCGGTTGCAATAAATTAAAGAGCTTACTGCTACTGCTGCTTGCTGCTGCTGCTTTGGTGGCCAGAACTGAAGAGGAAAATGAGAGCAGTGTCCTAAAGCCTGCATTGATCAGAGCGTTAGGACGTCACCACATGCGGGAAGCAACATGTACGAGGGAATGTGGAAATGTTTGGGATTTCTGTTTATTTCGTTAGCTTTTTACAGGACAATAAAAAGAAATGTCCCTTTTCAACCAAGATATAAAAGTGAAATCGATTAAGATATTCTATTCCGCTATACATTGAATAAAAACTTGACTGATAATTCCTTTTCTATGCCAAATATCCTACCCTAATATTACAATATTAGGTAATTTTTTTCTTTAAAAAAATTTACCTACTGACTCATATTGCTTAGAATTGCTTTGCAGTTAAGAAATTTCAATGACTGAACTGAAAAATAGCATTCAGGGTCCCTCATGTAGCTTAAGCCACAAGCATAAAACAGGAATAG